CCCCACAGGGGCCATTGATCGGAGTCTTCGGGAACAGCAGCACGGCAACTCCACAGGACCACGCACCTTCGTACACCACCATCCGGAACTGGTGCCTTGAAGCATTCACCAAGGCCGGCCTCGATAGCGCCCACCTCGGCACCCACTCCTTTTGCAAGGGCACTGCTACAGCGGCAGCCAGCCTGGGGATATCCGACCGGCTGTTCAAGCGACTTGGCCGTTGGCGCAGCGATAATGCCAAGGAGCTCTACGTTACCATCGCGCATGACCAACTCCTTCAAGCCTCCATGCAACTCCAAGACGCAGCCACCGCTCCCACGCCCAATCAGCACCAGCTATCTATTGAACGCCACCGCCAACCCCTTCTGCACATGTCTCAGAAGACACAGATGAAATGAAGCACGCTGCCTTTACAAGAGGACCTAAGCTAGCTTTCACAATATGTAATTTTTTTAAAGTGTGTAACACTTTCTAAAATGTGTATTGTGAGAGTGTAGGGAGGGCCAACGCAGCAAAGGCAGCGACGAAGCGCTACTCACCCTCTTTTGCCTACAAAAGAGGGACGTGAGACCATTCGGCCTCACCCACGTTCTTCATTTCTAGTTTCTCTAGTTCAATTTCCCCGCCCACCCACCCTCTTGTGTGTAGTTCTTTGTTGGACGAGAACCACGTATGTTTCCCAGATGAAATGAAGGACGCTGCCTTTACAAGAGGACCTAAGCAAGCTTTCACAATACCATATCAAAGTGAGAAATGATGACTAGAATGAGGCAAACAGGTTGGTTTTGTCTCAGGGGTTGTACCCTCTAAGGGTACACACCTATCTAGCCTATAAGGCATACACAATATGGTTGACAGACACTGTTTCCCTTACGGATACCATTTCGGACCGGCATTCTTTCAGATTGCGGGCAACAAAACAAGCACCATAGATACAGGAATTTGCCCACTGCATACAGAGTAGCACATCCCACCCCACAGCATTGACAGCAGCAGCACAATACAGCGCAGTGAAACGGGCTATATGAAGAAAGCATTCACCAACTCCAACTACAAATCAGCCGAAATGGATCCCTGCGCGGTTAAAAATCGCCAGTAGATGCACAAAGTCATCCTCAGACAGCTTGGACGACCGCTTGTCTTCATACCCCTCCGCTTTCAACACATCCAGCACTTTCTCTTTAAACTCTGGCAGTGGCCCCCCCTTCCCCTTTCCCCCCTTCCCCCTCCCTCCCCCACCCCCCGCACCCTCCTCCTCCTCCTCCATTGCCTCCACCCCATCCTCCTCCTCCCCATCCCCCGCCACCTCACCCTCCTCCCAGTCATCATCCTTCATAAACACATCTGTAACCCTCCCCTCTCCCGCACCACTCCCTCCCCCAGCCCCCCCTGCTGCCTGCAGCGCCTGGAAAGTGAGCATGTTTTCATGCAGCAGGTTCAGCACGTTCTTCTGCCGGAAAATCGCCCCCAGGGTCTTGTTTTTGCGCGAGAAGCAGAGGCGCAGCAGCCCGTCCCACTCCTGCAGGTTGATCGGGGGGAGCGGGTGCCGTGGCTCGATGCGCACCACGCTTGAGTCCACCTTGGGCGGCGGGCGGAAGTTGTTGCGCCCCACCTGATTGGGTGCACCGGGGGAGAGAGGGAGTGGGAGAGACGGATGCAGGCCGAGAGAGAGGGGAGGGGGGAGGGTGGGAAGGGGGAGTTGTGAGGGGTCTGAGTGGGTGGTGTGGTTAGATGCGCTCCATAAGGAGTGCACGGTCCACCTCCAGGAGTGGGAGGAAAATGGTTCAGACCCACCAGGTTGCTTGCGCGGGTGAGTGGGAAGAGAGAGGGGGGAGTGGGCAAAAGGGGGTGGGGGGGGGGGATGGGGAGAGGGCGGGGGGGGGGGGGGGGTTTGGTCAGGGGAAGAGAGAAAAGGATTGGGGGAAGGTGCAAGCAGGAAAGTGGGAGGGAAGTTGTGACTCTAAATACCTGGGTGGCCTTTGACCAGTAAATGGAGGGATTGGCAGGACAAGTTGTGGGCAGAGATGGTGAGCAAGGGGAAGACAGCACGTCCCTATCACGCATGCGTGCGTGCGTGCGGCACTTTACCTTGAGCAGGTGGTGATTTGGAGAATTCTCAAGAACCAAATTACCTTGAGCAGGTGGTGTATGCGTGCCAGCAGTTGCGAATTCGCACTGAGCCGGCAGTACAGGTTGTCCCCCGGGCGTGCGAGCAGCCTGAGCGCGAACTCCTTTTGGAACATGATGATGGCGGCGCGGAAGATCGGGCGGTGCGACAGCAGCTTGAACACAATGGGCGACGAGATCTGGTACGGGATGTTGGCCACACAGATGTCAAAGTACGGCAGCTCCACCTTCAGAATGTCGCCCTGGATGATCTGCCAGGGGGGTTCGGGTTGAGGTGGAAGGTAGAGGGTTTGAGGTTGCGGCCTGGGGTTGAGGCCTAAACAGGAAGGGTCGCAGATGTCAAGGTGCGGCAGCTCCACCTTCAAAATGTCGCCCTGGATGATCTGCAAACAGTGGGGGAAGGCTAGGGGGTGAGCGGAGTGGGAGGGGAAGGGTTGAGAGTTGAGAGACGGAAGTCACGAAGAGCAGAGGCCGAAGGACGGTCAGAAGAATGGGGGTGTGGTAGCTTGACGCACGAGACACCAAGACACCAAGACAGGAAACACGGAAAGCCAGGGTTTGTGGAAGAGTGTGCTCCTCCCGACGGATCAGTTGCCATGGAAGAGTGGCAGCAGCGCGTAGGAAGTCGCCTAGGGAAAGCCTGACAATTGAGCAAAAGCGTGTGCCGAAACGTGTGCCGAAACTTGTGCCGCGCGCTCACCTGCAGCTTGTTCTCGAGCGGCGTGCCCTGCACGCGGCGCGACAGCTCTTGCACCATGCGCGGGTCCAGCTCCACCGCCACCACGCGCTTCCCCGCCTCCAGCAGCTTCATCGTCAGGTTGCCTGGCGGGGGGGGGTGGGGGGGGGGGGATGGGGGGAAGGGAGGTGAGGGGAAGGGCGGTGTGGGGAAGGGCGGAATGGAGAGGAGAAGGACGCGAAGGATAAGGGTGGGACGAGGGGAGTGGGGAGCGGAGCATGGGTTTGGTGTCGAGGGGAGGGGAGGGGAGGGGAGGGAAGAGGAGGGGCAGGGGAAGGGAAGGGCGGAAAGGGGCGAGGGCAAGGGGGGTGGGTGGGGGTGGGTATCCACAGGGAGAGCAGCGCAAGGCGGGGGAATGCTGTGCATGGCTCCGAGCAGAGCACCGCCGTGGTGACAGTGAGGAGCGCGGATGAGCGGGAGGGGGGCCGGGGCAAAGCGGTAGGGGGAAGAAGGCGCGGGAGGGGAAGTGGGGCTGGGGTCATTCGCTGGGGACTGCTTCGTCTGTGGGGCGAAGGGGGGCGAAAGGGGGGTGGGGGGAGGGGGAGGGGCGGATCGGGATTCAGGCGTCCGCGTGGTTGAGACCCGTGAAGGGACCCTCGTCCCCACCTTCATCGCGAATGTGGTTGCGTGTCCCGGGGTTGAAGGGTTTAATGGTTTAACGGGATCTTCGGGCCGAGCCACGGGACAAGGGCGGCGGCAAAGAGACTCGCAACGATCGCTCGCCTCAACAAGCTCCACCGCGGGCCAGTTAGGCGCTTCAAACGTTCCCAATTTGGCGTCGCGGCGCGCGTCTCAACCCAGCTATTCCATCGCCCGGCCTCGCTGATATAGCCTGGCCGGGCTCCGCGGTATGTTTCTGAGGCGCCTCAAAAGCAGCGACCTCGCTTATAGCGCCTACAGTGCCACCACGGTGCCACTTTTGAGCCGACTCAAAGACAGCGACCTCACCTATATCGCGTATAGGCGCACCTGTTCCGGGCCCGATTTCCAGCACGGTGTCAGTCGACTTGACCCCGGCCTTTTGAACGATGGACTGCACGACCATGGGGTTCTTGAGAATGTGCTGCCCCTTGCTCTTCTGGAACTCTATTCCTTGGAATCGCCGCGACGCGCCATCCTTGCCCTTCCGCGGGGCTTTCCCGCCCGCCATCCCCACTGCCGCGGCGAAGTCGAACGGCTCGGCGTTGGGTCCGCTGGAAGCAGCCTCGGTGCTGTAGAGAGATGTGCGAAGATCGGAGGATGTCACGCGGAGCGGACGGGTCGCGAAAGAAGGTCCGGTTTCGCAAAGCGGTGCAGCACGTGCCCTTTCGCGAAATTTTCTTGCAATTGCCAACGAAGAGTTGAATTCTCGTCGATCTAGCTCGGCCAAAGGTGCAGTTGGTGAAGATTCTACAGGTATTCGGGAAGCGACAGAAGGTGTAAGCGAAGAAAGAAGGGTAATCAAACCGTCGTGCTTTCTGGCGATTGCGCGATTCCTAGCCGCTCGAGCTGCTGTTGCTGCTCTGCTGCCAAGCATATCGAGGGTTCCAGGTTTCTGCGGGTTTTGCGAGGGACTGGGGTTTGGTGGCAAGGCAGGGCTGTATGAAATGCGCGAACTTGAGGGAGTGGTCAAACGTGGCGGATACTGTCCGCTTGCAACTGCAGATCAATCCGAATCTCGCGTACCGGTATCAATGCGACCTCTATTACACACCTGTCGTACAAGATATGACCCTGCAAGCTACTCGGTGAATGGGCCCTTGATAGCACGGAAGAACCTAGAGTGTAGGGTGAATCCAAGCCGAAAACCTTGTGAATACGCGCTATGCACAAATCATGCAGAGCAAGATAGTTTTGTTTAGCTTTTTGTTTCGTCAAAATATAATATGAATGAAGAACGAGGTTGCTTAGGGAGCTGCTGGAGCTCCTCCAGCCTAGTCAACGATGAGCCCAACTGCGCCGTTGTGACGTGGCGCCAAGCCTAATTGGCTGGCAATTTACTTTCCCTCGTTATTGGCACGTACCCTCCGTACTGTACACCTGAGACCTTTCCGCCTCGAGGTCTGCGCGCCCATGCCCAGCCATCTGGTTGCGGGAAGTTACCTTGGGCACCGCCCAGTAGTTCAGGAGGCGCATTCGTTGGCGCGAAACTTTCAGGGCGCACTAGTGCACACCACGCCACAATATGCTAAGCGCGCGCCAAGAGGGAGCAGGAGGACGCGCCTGAGCGCGGGAATCGGGGGATCGGGGAAGCGAACATTGATGGGTGGTGGGGCAAGAAAGTCACGCTGGAACTATACTGTACGAGCCAAGGGAAACAATTCTCGAGGGCGTGGTGGTGCTGCTGAGTGAGGCCACCAGGCAGAAATATCAAGCCAACACCGAAACTGAATTCTCTCGTCGTGAGCTGCAAATTTCAAACGCTGCTGCTGCTGCTGCTCTGTTTGTTTGTCGCTGGCCTGCTGGTCGTAATCTGATGGTTCTCTTCTCTACAACCTTCCGTCCGACGAACGATAGCGCTCGACAGCCGACGTAGTTTCCTGCCAATCCTCAAGTTTGTCACTGTCCGCGTGACCTTTTTGCGAGCAGCTAACAACAGCTAAGGGGTGGAGGCTAGATTGACCTAGGCTACTTGGGCCCTTGGCCCTCTGTTGATAGACTTATATTACTGACTAGCATCTAGTTTCGGTAACACAAGTTACTGCCTTCTTAGGTCACCGCCTGCGATAGAGCCACCGTTTCGCGCTGGTCGTTTTTTTCCATCGTCGACGGTAGCGAATCCACTGTTGTTTCCCCCGAAGGATACTTGGACTTTCAAATCCGCCCTGATGCCGCTGCTATACACCATCGTGTCGCGGGGGACGACAGTACTGGCAGAATTCAGGTGCTGCCGTGCCACTCCCTGCTGCCGTGCCACTCCCTGCTGCCGTGCCACTCCCTGCTGCCGTGCCACTCCCTGCTGCCGTGCCACTCCCTGCTCAAGAGTGAAGTCGTTCGCGTCATATCTTATGTCCTGCCCCATCGCACATATACCGCCTCCCGCCTTCCGCTCTGCCCCACCTTCAGTCGCATATCTTCGTTCTTATCTTCCCTTCCACCCCCTCCTTGCATCCTTTCTCACGCTGTGCCATACAGCGCATTCTCCTCTACTTTCCATCTCGCGGTTTCCTTCTACGGTCGCTCCCATCCCTCCCGGCACCCCTCCGTTTTGTCTTCCTCCTCCTGTGCCCCCTCCTTGCATCCGCGCCTCATTTCTGTTCGATTCCAGTCATCCCGCCCCTTCCTCTTACTCTCTCTCTCTCTCTCTCGCTTATGTCCTCCACTCCGATCTCCCCTCCGGTCGCCAGCCTTCAACGCTCCACCCAGCTTCTCCCTTCTAGAATCCTCCGAATCCACTGCTTGCGGGCAGTGGACATGCTGCACGCAACGACCAACCCCCACCTTCCTCGTTCTCGCAAACCCACCTTTTGTCCCCGCCTCCCTCCCTCCCGTGGCCCCTGCCCCCTCTCCCCCCCCTCTCGTTCCCCCCCGGCGCTCCAGCGTGACAGCGGGCAACGTGAACACGGTGGCGCAAACCGGCTTCTTGCCCCCGCTCCCTGACAGTCGCCCCTGTCCGCGCGTCCCCCCCACTCGCCCCTGTTCCCACTCTCGCCCGTGTTTTTTTCCGCTCGTGCCTTCCAGCGTGGCGGCGGGCAATGCGAACGCGGTGGCGCGGAGAATACTGGAGAAGCTGCCGGTGGACGGGGACGCGCGCGTGTCGTACACGCACGACCGCCACGTGTTCCACATCCTGCGCGCCGATGGGCTCGTCTTCCTCTGCATGGCGGACGCGCCCTTTGGACGTACGTGCGCGCCTGCGTTAACCCCCTCTCTTCTCAGTCATGGAACAGATCACTCCTCCCAGTCGTGCACATGCACCATGGGGTCATGCATCCATGCATCCATGCCACTGATTCATATTCGCGCCCAGGCAGGCACCATGCTCTCACCAGCAAGTAACAGTGCCGTGCTTGTTCGGACTGTGAGTAGCAACACACTTGCTGAAGCTGCCGCACAGCCTTCTCAGCTCACCCCATTCCACCCCCCATCTGGCATTCCCGCTGCCGTGCCCTTCCTCCTCAAATCCTTCCCACCCGTCTGTTTCCCCTCGTCACGCCACGCCCGTTCTAGCAACTACGTCAGTCGTCCCGTTCTCACCTTCCCCCTGTCTCACCTTCCCCCTGTCTCACCTTCCCCCTGTCTCACCTTCCCCCTGTCTCACCTTCCCCCTGTCTCACCTTCCCCCTGTCTCACCTTCCCCCTGTCTCACCTTCCCCCTGTCTCACCTTCCCCCTGTCTCACCTTCCCCCTGTCTCACCTTCCCCCTGTCTCACCTCCCCCCTGTCTCACCTTCCCCCTGTCTCACCTTCCCCCTGTCTCACCTCCCCCCTGTCTCACCTTCCCACTGTCTCACCTTCCCCCTGTCTCACCTTCCCCCTGTCTCACCTTCCCAATGTCTCACCTTCCCTCTGTCTCACCTTCCCACTGTCTCGCCTTCCCACTGTCTCTCCTTCCCTCTGTCTCACCTTCCCACTGTCTCGCCTTCCCACCTTCCGAACTGCCCGTGCTCTCCCTTCGCACTGTCTCACCTTGGCCTGCACCGGCAAAAGCTGGATGCTGTTCAAAGTCTACTGCTGATGTCAGCATTCCACAGCCCCTTCAACCCTCTGCCCCATCCCCACTCCCTCATCCATTCTGCCCCCTTCGCCCACAACACACACCACAGCTCCCCCGTCCTCCTCCCCCTAACCTCCCCTCCACCTCCCCTTCGCCCCTTTCCCCCTTACCTGCCTCACCCCAAGGCGGGTGCCCTTCGCATACCTGGAGGATGTGCACATGCGGTGCATGAAGACATACGGGTGCGTGGCAGGCATACCCTGTCTTCCCCTTCTTCTTAACCCCCCCCGTCCACTGACCCCTTTCCCTCACCGTTTTTTCCCCACCTCTTCTCCCCTCCCTCTCATTCCCTCCAGGGCGGGTGCCCTTCGCGTACCTGGAGGACGTGCACATGCGGTTCACGAGTACCTATGAGCGCATGGCGGGTGCACCTCCTCTTCCCCTTCCTCTTATACCCCCTTTCCCACCCTTTCCTCCCGTTCGCTGCGTGCCTCACCTCAGGGCGGGTGCCCTTCGCCTACCTGGAGGACGTGCACATGCGGTTCATGAAGACGTATGGCCGCGTGGCGGGCACGGCGCTGGCGTACGCGATGAACGACGAGTTCTCGCGCGTGCTGGCGGCGCAGATGGAGTTCTTCTCCTCCAACCCCAACTCGGACACGATCAGCCGCGTCAAGAACGAGATCAGCGAGGTGAGTTTCTTTTGAGACGACTCAAAAGCGCGCAGATAGAGTTTTTCTCCTCCAACCCCGACTCAGGTGCGATCAGCTGCTTCAAGAAAGAGATCAGTGAGGTGAGGTCCGTGAAGCGCGGTATGGGGTTTTCTTACTGGTCCTGTCACGGTAGTGGCTGCTCAGCTGGAGTTCTTTTCTTCCAACCCTGACCCGGTTACCATCAGCCGCGTCAAGAACGAGACATCTTCCTACTCCAGCACCTTTCTCCTTCCCATCCTCGACTTTCCCTTTTCCCTGGCTTGTTGCCTGCCGTTGCCTGCTGTTGCCTGCTGTTGCCTGCTGGTGCCTGCTGGTGCCTGCTGTTGCCTGCTGTTGCCTGCTGTTGCCTGCTGTTGCCTGCTGTTGCCTGCTGGTGCCTGCTATTGCCTGCTGTTGCCTGCTGTTGCCTGCTGTTGCCTGCTGGTGCCTGCTGGTGCCTGCTAGTGCCTGCTGTTGCCTGCTGGTGCCTGCTGTTGCCTGCTGGTGCCTGTTGGTGCCTGCTGTTGCCTGCTGTTGCCTGCTGTTGCCTGCTGTTGCCTGCTGGTGCCTGCTGGTGCCTGCTGTTGCCTGCTGTTGCCTGCTGGTGCCTGCTGGTGCCTGCTGAGTGAGTGATGAGTCACACAGGCGAAAGAATCGACACGCGAAAAAAATAACCCCCGTGTCGCCAAACGCCGCGTCACCCCTGCCGCAGCTGAACCTTGGTTTCCCCATTTTATCGTCAGGTTACTGTGCATGGTTCGTTTCGTGCTGTTTGGTTGGTCGCGGATTTACCATTGTCGGAACACCACAATGTAACACGTCTCATGCGTGAGGAGTCTATTTTTGAGGCGCCTCAAAAAAAGATTTACCATTGTCGGAACACCACAGTGTAACACGTCTCATGCCCAGGCTCGAGCCAGCGGCTTGTCCCGTCGATTTCGCACATTGAGCTCGCAGACTGAGCGAGGGTCACATTGAGCCGAATGCTGGCCCCCCTTATCCCTATCTCTTCCCGTTCACTTTCCCCACTTTCTGTCTCCCTGCTGGCAGGTGAAGTCAGCAGAGAACATCGACACGGTGCTGGACCGCGGCAACGGCGTAGAGCTGACTTTTGAGTTGTTTTTCGCATTTCTGTCACCCTACCATCTCCTGCCGCCAGGTGAAGTCGGTGATGGTGGAGAACATCGACATGGTGCTGGACCGCGGCAACCGCATAGAGCTGCTGGTGGACAAGACCGCCACGCTGCAGGACAACACCTTCCGCTTTAAGAAGCAGGCCCGAGCACTCAAGCGCGCTCTGTGGTGGAAAAACACCAAGCTCATGTGCGTGGGGGGGGGGAGGGTAAGGGTGACTGATGGGAGTGGCTTGGTCTTGGGGGGGGGGGGGGGAGGGGGGGGGGGTTGGTAAATGGCGAGAAGGGAAATAGTGAGGGATTTTTTGGGAGTATGCCAACAGTATTGGGATGAAGGGATGGGATGGTAACAAGTAAGTTGTGGACGAGACGAGCTGAAGCTTCCCAGCCAACCTCCTCTACCCCTGCCTCCCCTCATTAACCCGTAGTTGCATCCATTTGTGATCCACGACCACTTGTGCCCCGTTTGAGAAAGAAGTCTTTCCTTCTCCACCGCCTCCCCCCCCCTTGTCTTCATCTTCCAGGATTGCCATGAGTGGAGTCATCCTGATTGCTCTCTACCTCTTCGTGGCTCTCTTTTGTGGGGGCTTATTTCTCCCATCTTGCCATTCCTGACGGCATCTCTTCCAACTGCACAGTGCCTCGAAGCTCCTTTTCCACGATTTCCACAACATCTTGATGTATAGTGGGAATTAAAGTGTCGATTGCTCCTTACATGTATTTTACGTGTCTAATGCATGCTGATCAGTTTGTTGTCCAGTGATAACAGCTGTAACGACGCCCAGCTAATGTTTTAGAGCTAAGATAAACTCCCTCGTCTGTTTATACTAATGTTATCATTAGAATGATTTTGCCTCTTGGAGGGGTTTGGACGAGAATTTGTTCGTCACACTAGATCAATTGTCTAAGGAAAATGTAACAGGTTGTAACCGTTACTTCTGGACTCCAAATTTCGGGCTGACGTGGGGTCAATTCCGACTCGGGAGGACGAGGAGATAGGATAAAGCAGCGTTAGCGCAGGCAGTACGATGACGCCACGTCACCGTGCGCGAATTAGTCGCGAAATCCTCGGAGCAAGTAGCATCATCCATCGGGCTTGCCTGGGCACCTCGGTTTGCTCCCCTCGGAAGTGGGGCAACGGCCAAGCCCGACCAGCCAGCCCCGCGCGATCCCACGCGGACCCCAGCATCGCTCCAGCCTCCCTCATATCCAGTCAGTCTGCAGCTTGGAGAAGCCAAGCCAAGCTCTCGCCCACCCTCCTGTGTTCGAAGTGTGCCACTCTAGCCTTTCACCAGCAACCATGGCTGCCGTGGCATCTTCGTCCGCTGTCCTCAGGAGCTCGTTCCTTGGCCAGAATGTGGTCGCTCCCCGCGTGGAGTCCGCCTCCCGCACGGTGATGACCCTCGGCAAGAAGAAGACCGTTGCCAAGAAGGCCGCTGCCGCTTCTCCTGTTGATGCCGAGCTGGCCAAGTGGTATGGTGAGTATTGGCAGGACTTCGCAGCCGACCCGACAGAATCATGCGGTGTAGCTTTTCCACAATTGCAGATAATTAATTAGTCTCCGCGTGTCGCTTTCGCAGGCCCCGACCGCAGGACCTACCTCCCCGAGGGTCTCCTCGACAGGTCTGACATCCCGTCCTACCTCACTGGCGAGGTTCCCGGCGAGTAAGCTCTCCTCCTAAACCGTCAACCCAGTCCCATTGGCAATCCTGCCTTGTGCAAGTTAACCGTTTGTTGTGAGTTCTTTGCCCAACTAATGGTGGTTCTTTCTCTCTCGTGCAGCTATGGCTACGATCCCCTGGGTCTGAGCAAGAAGCCCGCTGACTTCGAGAAGTACCGCGCCAACGAGGTGATCCACGGTCGCTGGGCCATGCTCGGCGCCGCCGGCTTCATCCTGCCCGAGGCCTTCAACAAGTACGTGCCCGGCGTGTGCGGCCCCGAGGCCGTGTGGTTCAAGACCGGCGCTCTGCTGCTCGAGGGCGACAGCATCCAGTACCTGGGTGCTACCGTCCCCCTCAACCTGGCTGCCGCCACCATCGCCGAGGTCCTCCTCGTCGGCGGTGCTGAGTACTACCGCGCCAAGAACGCCTCTCCCCTCGGCTCCGTAAGTTTCGTGGTTTGGATCTGCAATGCGAATGTTTTCCAATTCCTTGCGGCGAGTACCTGACGTTATTTTGCCTTGCATGCTTTCAGGACCTCGACACCCTGTACCCCGGCGGTTCCTTCGATCCCCTCGGCCTGTCCTCCGACCCCGACACCCTGGCTGTGCTGAAGGTGAAGGAGCTGAAGAACGGCCGTCTCGCCATGTTCTCGATGCTCGGATTCTTCATCCAGGCCAAGGTCACCGGTGAGGGCCCAGTGGAGAACCTGACCACCCACTTGAGCGACCCCTTCGGCAACAACCTCCTGACCGCGCTGGGCTCTGCTGCCGACCGTGCCCCCACTTTGTAAGGTGGAGATACTTAGCATTTTCAACCCGTTTTACAATGAGCGCGTATGCGCGATTTTGATGTAAAGGTCGTATGGTGAAAATGTGAAAATGTTTCTACCACCCATTGTTTTTGCATACAAAGCTGGCTTTGCACTTGCCAATCGAAAATGCAACTGATATGAACAGGAGATTGACTAGGCACTGAAATAAAAGACTGCTAAATCCATGGTAGCATTATAGCTGAATCTGATCATGAGCGAGACGTGCAGCTAAATATACATGTCTATCAACCCAACCAAAAGATGTATAGCCTGCGCACAAGGGTTATATGGTCGTATCTAAGTAGACGAAAGAGTGAGCTGGCTAAGAGAAAATATGCGTGCTCGCTTTCTTCGGTGAAGCGAAGTGCTATTGTACATTCAGCACACATAATGCAGCGATGTTTTCCCCCTACATCTTGTAGATGGTGATCATACCTCACTGGAGTGGACCAGTAGACGATTGTTTTCACGCCCACTCACTACAACGTTTTTCAACCGTGCATACTTTTTAGTGTGCGCTGGTTCCCCGTACCCACTCAAGCACGGCTCTTGATTCCAGCCTAACGGATTTCCTGTGCTAACCGATTAGGTTAGACGCTCTCAAAGGCACTTCGTGCGTAAGGAGCTCGATAAATTCTGCGCCATTTCCTGCCACCCTCCTTCTCACCGCTCCTCACCGCGACTCGTCTCCGTGTATCCCTCCACCTTCCGAGCGATATCCGCTCGGCGCGCCTTAGCCCAACGCATCCCGCTTGGACGACTCCCGCTTGCATTACCCCCTGAAATTCGTCTGGAGGGCTCCCGCTTTCTCTCCTTGCTGGCTGAATAGCTCCTGCGGATCTTTGCAGCCTCGCCGTGATTTCATTTCCTCCCCTGGCCTTCCCAGACCCCCATGCCATCCCCCGCGTGCGGCGCAAGCGGCGCAGGTTCCGCCGCGGAGGCAGATGCGGCGGATAGGAGGAGCGCAGGGGCGCGGGGAGATGGGGGAAGGCTGCGCCTAGCGAGGGAGAGGGGGGACGCGGAGGACGTGATGGGGGAGGGGTACGGGGAGGGGGGAGAGGAGGTGGCGGAAGCCCGTGCGGGGGCAGATGAGAGGGGGGGGAGGGGGGAGATGGGAGGAGAGGGGCATAGGGATGCAAGAGAAGCACAAGCAGGGTCAGAAGCTGTTATACATGATAGAGCCGGTAGAGGTGATAGAGACGATAGGGATTATAGCGATGGTATAGTGATGGTCGTACGAGAGGGAGGGGATGGGGCAGTGCGGGAGGGAGAGGAAGAGAGAGACAGGGAAGGAGGAGCGGGGGATGAGCTTTCGACCATCGACCCGTGCCACATCATTCGGCTCATCCGCACGCTGCTGCAGGAAGGGCGGGGGGGAGAGGCGCATGCAGGGATAGGGGAACACGGGGAAGAGCGGACAGAGGGGTAGAGGGGGAAGAGGGGAAGGAGGGGGCGGACGGGGGAGAACGCGGTGAGAGTGGAACAGGGGGAGAAGGCGGAGTGGGGGGCAGAAGGGAAGACGCAGGGGGAGCAGGAATGGGTGAGGGGGAGAAGGAGGGGGGAGGGGAGGCGGATGTGCGCGCGGGAAGGGGGCGAAGGGGAGAAGGGGCGGACGCAGGTGGGGGGATGAGGGAGAGTGTGTGGAAGGGAGAAGGGAGGGGAGGTGGTGGTGAGGATGATGAGAGGGGGAGGGAGGGTGCGTGGGAGGGGGAGGGAAGGGATGGGAGGGAGGGCAGCGAGGGGAGGAGGGAGGAGGCTGGGTGTGCATTGTGGGACTTGGCTGCGAGTGAGGAGCATGCAGAGCTCATGGTGGGTGGCGATGCTGCATGGTGGTGGGTGGTGATGCTGCATGGTGGGTGGTGATGCTGCATGGGGGGTGGTGATGCTGCATGGTGGGTGGTGATGCTGCATGGTGGGTGGTGATGCTGCATGGTGGGTGGTGATGCTGCATGGGGGGTGGCGATGCTGCATGGTGGGTGGCGATGCTGCATGGTGGGTGGCGATGCTGCATGGTGGGTGGCGATGCTGCATGGTGGGTGGTGATGCTGCATGGTGGGTGGTGATGCTGCATGGGGGATGGTGATGCTGCATGGTGGGTGGCGATGCTGCATGGTGGGTGGCGATGCTGCATGGTGGGTGGCGATGCTGCATGGTGGGTGGTGATGCTGCATGGTGGGTGGTGATGCTGCATGGGGGATGGTGATGCTGCATGGTGGGTGGCGATGCTGCATGGTGGGTGGCGATGCTGCATGGTGGGTGGCGATGCTGCATGGTGGGTGGTGATGCTGCATGGGGGGTGGCGATGCTGCATGGTGGGTGGCGATGCTGCATGGTGGGTGGCGATGCTGCATGGTGGGTGGCGATGCTGCATGGTGGGGAATTCATGTTTGCAGAAGCATTTTCCTAAACCCTTGTTGGTGAGGATTATTTTTTTGCTGCGGGTGTGTGACTTGGGGTACGAACAAGCCTCCAGTATGGACTTCTAGAGCGGTAAAGGACGAATTCGGTAGGTTGCAGAAGATTATAACCGCGGTACAGAGTGGTGAAGGTACGAACTTTCGACAAATTTGCAAAAAGTCACACGCCCTAAGTGCTTCTGTCCTTGTCAATGCGTGATAAGGAACAGTGGATTGCGGGGAAATCTGGCCTCTTGCCACGTTGGATTGTGGGTTGTTGTGAGTGTGCGACTGGGGGTGTGTGGCGTGTGGTGCTTGGGCTTGGTGCATGGGCTTGTTTGCATGGCGTCGTTGCAGTTGTGGCTCATGTTCATGCACTTGTCATGGACCCATGCAACAGTCATGCTGTCTCACGTCATGTCATGCCATGCCGTGTCATGTCATGCCATGCCATGCGGTGCTGCTTGGTAGGTTGGCAACCATGTGCTGGAGGTGGTGCTCTCTGTGCTCGCCTCTCCAGCCTCGTCCCCACGACTCAAGGTCAGGACTCAGGACCCCCCCATGCCTGCACTGTCTCACACTCCCATCCACCCACCCATGTCCACCCACCCATGTCCACCCACCCATGTCCACCCACCCATGCACACCACTTCCACGCCTTTGTGCTGATGGTGCATGCGTGGTTGTGCGTTTGTGCCATTCCGTGTTCATTCTGCTGTATGTGCAACTGCCCGGGCATGTTTTTTCTTGCTCTTTCATTCACAAATATCGTCATCCTTCCCGACCATCCCTCCCCCCCCCCGCTCCTCCAACCCCGTCCAGGAGATCTGCATGGGCCTGCTTGCCAACCTGGCATGCCACGTGGCACCAGCACACAGCATGGCAGCTGCGGGCGGCGATACAGCTCACGCCATGATGCATGCGGTGCTGGCAGTGCTCATGGGTGAAGACGACCCCCCATGCCTCACAGAGACCTGCCGGTATGCGTGCAGGACGCATGCTGGGTGGTATGGTTGGTCACACCATGATGCATGACGGGTGGTATGGTTGGTCACACCATAATGCGTGATGGGTGGTCAGAAGTCATGCCATGATGATGCATGCGGGGCTGACAGTGCTCATGAATGAAAACGGCCCTCATGCTTCACAGAGACCTGCTGGTATGCACATAGACATTTCAGTCCACATGCGCATGCTGCGTCTACTGCAAATGCACATCCCATCTTTGCCCCATTAGTATCCTGAAACTGAAACCTGTCATTGTGCCTCTCCCTGCCCCCTTCCCATCCCACCTTGCCACCAATTCCAGTCTGCTTCGATTTGCCTCAAAACATCCCCTCCCCCCCCCCCCCCCCCCCCCTCGCGCTCTCGTCTATCCCCCCCTCTCATCACTGCCTTCCCAACCCCACCAGCCTACCAGCCAAGTACTACTGCATGGTGCAGAGAGTCACTTTCCGAGATCACTCAAAGGCCGCCTTCGGGCAACTTTTGTGTCCCTTACCTGGAAACTCCCAACCTCCATTCCTCCTCCTTCCCACCCTCTCACCAGCTCACTAGCCACTGTGCTATGCGGGGCAAAGGTGCGTGTCAACAACAACTCAGAGTCGTTTTTGAGACCTTCTGTGTCGAGACCACTTGTAACAACTCCCTTCTTCTCCCTCTCGCCTTTCCACCCACCCGTCCCTTCCACCCATTCCCGCCCACCCGCACCAGGCTACTGGCCACTGTTCTGCGTGGGGCAGATTCGGAGGCATGGGCAAACGTCTTGGCATCCAGTGCTCCTGACTCCCTGCCCCGCGTGCTCTGGATTGCTGCCAACACCCTGCATCCGCAACTGCTGCGAAAGGTACGCATGCACTGGGGTGGAGAGGAGCTATGCAGTGTGGTGTGGTGTGGTGTGGTGTGGTGTGGTGTGGTGTGGAGTGGCATGACTCTTCGATTCAGCGCTGATTGGTGCACTGCCTGTGCACTTAGGTATGGCGCTGCAATGCAACTGTTGGAGTGAAAAGTTCCATCGTCATCACCATCATTTCCCCCCCCCCCCCACCCGTCCACAGTGCACCGACCTCCTGCTCGCCATGGCAGACTCCTCCCACCCGGCATCACGCGTGCTGCTCCCCCCCCTCCTCGCCCTGCCTCTCCTCCCCACGCTCTCTGACCTCATTGCCTCTGAGATGGATCGACTGGAGGAAGGCTCCAGGGACGAGTGAGTACTCGCTGCTTGTTTGTTTGTTTGTTTGTTTTTTTGCATCACTGCACACACAGAAGCAGGCATAAACCACCTCCATTTTCCTTCTCTTGCACCCTGATGTAGTCGCCATTCCCCCTTCCACCTCGCTTCTTTCTCTAACAGCTTCAGCTTCCCCTTTCCCCTTCTTCCCCTCTCCCTTTCTCCCCACACCTCACTCCCCAACCCACCCACTCCCTTCTCGTGTTCCTTGCCTTTCTCTGATGCCACCACCAGGGACGACATTCTCGACTCGCTCCTGCAAGTGCCTGAAGCTATCTCTCTCGCGCCCGGCGCTCCATCCTCTCTCCTCGCCTCCCATCCCCGCATCCTCCCTCTTGCTGTCGCTATCGTCGCCTCTTCTCCATCACATGCGGTGAGTCCGTGCTGCCCCTTGGCATGCTCGCACCAGAACATGCCCATGCCCATGCCCATGCCCATGTCCATGCCCATGCCCATGCCCATGCCCATGCCCATGCCCATGCCCATGCCCACGCCCATGCCCATGCCCATGCCCATGCCCATGCCCATGCCCACGCCCATGCCCATGCCCATGCCCATGCCCATGTCCATGCCCATGCCCATGCCCATGCCCACGCCCATGCCCATGCCCATGCCCATGCCCATGCCCATGCCCATGCCCATGCCCACGCCCATGCCCATGCCCATGCCCATGCCCATGCCCATGCCCATGCCCATGCCCACGCCCATGCCCATGCCCATGCCCATGCCCATGCCCATGCCCATGCCCATGCCCACCCATGCCCATGCCCATGCCCATGCCCATGCCCATGCCCATGCCCATGCCCATGCCCATGCCCATGCCCACGCCCATGCCCATGCCCATGCCCATGCCCATGCCCATGCCCACGCCCATGCCCATGCCCATGCCCATGCCCATGTCCATGCCCATGCCCATGCCCATGCCCACGCCCACGCCCATGCCCATGCCCATGCCCATGCCCATGCCCATGCCCACGCCCATGCCCATGCCCATGCCCATGCCCATGCCCATGCCCATGCCCATGCCCACGCCCACGCCCATGCCCACGCCCACGCCCACGCCCACGCCCATGCCCATGCCCATGCCCATGCCCACGCCCATGCCCATGCCCATGCCCATGCCCACGCCCATGCCCATGCCCATGCCCATGCCCACGCCCATGCCCATGCCCACGCCCACGCCCACGCCCATGCCCATGCCCATGCCCATGCCCACGCCCACGCCCATGCCCATGCCCACGCCCACGCCCACGCCCATGCCCATGCCCATGCCCATGCCCATGCCCATGCCCATGCCCATGCCCATGCCCATGCCCATGCCCATGCCCACGCCCATGCCCATGCCCATGCCCATGCCCACGCCCATGCCCATGCCCATGCCCATGCCCATGCCCATGCCCATGCCCATGCTCATGCCCATGCCCATGCCCACGCCCACGCCCATGCCCATGCCCATGCCCACGCCCACGCCCATGCCCATGCCCATGCCCATGCCCATGCCCATGCCCATGCCCACGCCCATGCCCATGCCCACGCCCATGCCCATGCCCATGCCCATGCCCATGCCCATGCCCATGCCCACGACCTGCCATGACATGACACGCCCGGCAATTCCCCTGCAACTTTGTCACTCTCCTCTCGCCTCGTCTTCATGCTTCTTCCTATCTCCTCCCTCCCCTCATTTCCCCCCCATCCCCCACTCCCCCCTCCCCCCCCATCACCTCCATCATCCCCATCACCCCCCTCTCCTCTCCGTGCCATCATCCCTGTGCGCCCTCACCACTCTTTTCCCCTGGCGCCAGCTGCCAGCATCAGCAGTCACGGCAGCCGTGCTGGTGGCCAACATCATTGCAGAGGACTCTTCGCTCATCCCCCACCTCATTGCAGGTCAGTCTCTTGCAGGTCCTATCTTGCAGGTCCTATCGTGCAGGTCCTATCTTGCAGGTCCTATCGTGCAGGTCCTATCTTGCAGGTCCGTCTATATCGTATGGGCTCCTGAGTTGTGTTGTCTGTCTATGTCCTCCTCGTAGTCTCCTCCTTCCAGCCTCTGCTCACATCGGATCTTTCACATACCAAGTTGATGGAGACTCATGTCCCATTCCTTCCTTCCTCATGTCCCCCCCCCTCTCCTTCTGTCCTTCACACGTTCACTCCTTTTTCCCCCTCTCGCTCCCCCCCCCCTCCTCCTTCCAACCCACCCACCCGCCCTCCCTCCCACTCACCCACCCACCTACCACCTTTCATCTCCTTCCACCACCTTCCTTACCACCAGCCCCCCAGTTCGTCCCTCGCCTGCTCGCCCTTCTCCCGGCAGTCTCAGACGACCCGGGCGCCCGCACCGCCATCTGGTCGCTGCTGCACGCCCTCTGCTCACATGCGCTGCGAGGGGGGCCACAGGGGAGAGCGCATGTTCCCGGGGGGGCACAGGGTGGGAGGGACGGATATGTGGAGGAGGGAGGGGTGGGGGATTGTTTGGAGGTGATGCAAGAGGACGGTGGGGGGAGAGAGGGGGTGGGGAGAGGAGAGGAGAGGGTGCAGCAGTCGCAGCAACAGCAGGCATGTGATGCAGAAGAGGCGGGAGGAGGTGATATAACAGAGAGAGAAACAGCAGCAGCAGCAGCAGCAGCTGTTGTTGTGAGTGCAGTGGTGGGGGAGTATGAGAGGATTGTAGAGGACCTGGAGGAACACGAGGGGGAAGAGGATGCTGTGTGTGTGGGTGAGGGCGAGGAGAATGGCGGTGATAAGGGAGCGAGGGGTGGAGAGGAGGAGAGGAATGGGCATGTGGGTGGGGGGAATGGGACGGCAGGGGATGGGGATGTAGATATGGGGGAGGCAGGGATGGGGGGAGAGAAGCGGACTGGAGGCGGAGTGAATGGTGGTTGTGGTGGTGGCTCACCTCACGGTCACATAAAGGGCCCCAAGGCAACAGTATGTGCCCACGTTTTGCTCTTCCCTCCTCTCTTCTTCCCTCCTCTCTTCTTCCCTCCTCTCTTCTTTCCTCCTCTCTTCTTCCCTCCTCTCTTCTTCCCTCCTCTCTTCTTATCTCCTCTCGTCTGTCTCTTTTCCCTCTCTTGTACCTTCCTCTCTCTACTTCCTCTGTCCATTTTTTTCCGAATTCCTCAGCCCTTTAGTTGAGAATGCCCTTGGAAGCAAGCTCTTTCTATCATGTCGCTTCGTGATCCCAACAGCATGTCGTTGCTCGTCCTCCTATCCCACGTGTTGTAGGTGGTTTTTGAGAATTCTAAAAACCGCCTATCCCACCCCCAATATACACAACAGCGTGCCATGTGCTGTCTTGTCTTGGTCACCCCCCTACTATCATCCCATCACCCATTCCTCCCCTTTGCTCTGAACACCCATCAGTTGCTGCTGCTGATTCGCCTCATCCAGCAAGCCACTTCGCTCCCTTCCTCGATTCCCAATCATGGTCCTCCTTCAATGGCAGCAGCCCCCTCAGCCCCCGAGGCACAAGAAGTAGACGCAGCCCAGGGTGATTTAAATTCCTCAGCAGCAGCAGCAGCACCACCGCCATCACAGGCGCATGCACGTTCTATGATGCTGGAGTGCGACCCACCCTTGTCGACATTGCACACCCACTCCAGGGTGGATTTGATTAGGGCGAGAGCAGCTGTGGCTGCCTTAGAAGAGAGCATTGGCCTGCGAGAAGTTTTGTGATAGTGCAAAAGAAACTACCGTATGTGCCATGGATTCTCTATTTCATGCTGGGTTGTAACTATTGGCGTTTGCGTTCATGCGATACGATGTGGCTGAAATGAAAGGGTTAGTGCTTAAACACTCAAGATAGTAAGGAGGAGAAACTCATTACCGTGACCCCCGTACCTTACTAAATGCATGCTAAAATCGCGCACCCCGATGACGTTGACGTACGCGATAAGGCACAGCTTTTGGCAAGAAAACTTTCACCTAGGCCCAACCAACCAGCCCACAACGGCCACAAAGGACGGTGGAAAAAAGCATCATCATCTGCTTGACTGTCTTGTCTACCAGCAAGCACGCGCCCTGTGCCTGGTGGGAGAGCCATGGCCGTCGTGTGGTCTTGCGAGGAGCGAGGACGGGTCATCTGTCGTGATGAGATCGTAGCCGCGTAGTTCCGTCGCACGAGCGCGCTTCTCTGCACCGCCATGTCGTGGCCCCTTCTGCGCTTCTCCTCCTCGCGCGCTCTCCGCTCCCTCTCGGCCCTGGTTGTTCCGCGAGCCGTTTCCCGTCTCGCCGCCTTACACCCTGCTCGTTGCGCTTGCTCCAGCTTAGCTGCCGTGGACACGTGTCCAACCACTATTGGCCGCTCGAGCTATTTGAGTAGGCTGTGCCGTCGGATTCTCCGGTTCCCGCCGCAGATCCCGCCGCCAGGAGCGCATCGCGTCGTCCCGAGTCGCGGTTACTTGCCCTCTGTCGCCGAGACTAGTCGCCGTGCGTCGTCGTGCGTCGCGCAGCGTTTTCGCGAGTCTGTGCGAAGCGGATCGCGTGCGAATCGTGTGTGGGGCGCGGGTTCGAATCCCGTCCGCGGGCTTTCCGCTAGGGTAAATCACCTGCCTCTTGAATTGCGGTTCGAGAGAATCTTTCGTGGAAGCAGCCGCATTGGGCCGTGCATATAAATGTCGTCCTTTAAGATGGTAGATGAGGGTCTGGGTGATTCTAAGCTGAGCGGGAAAGCGTGGCCCCTCAAAGGCAGGAAGCGAATCCATTCTGTGGGCAAAAGCAGGACACCAGAATGGATCTGAGCATTAGCGAACATTAGCGGATCTGAGCGGCGTGCTGGCTGGACGATAAGGGAGGTCATCTGTTGTGGGCTTGCTGGTCATAACGGACGGGGTTTTGACGAGGGTTTGGGGTTTGAGGTTTTGGGTGCTGGTCGCTGGTTTGGATCGAGTTGGTTTTGCTTGCGTTTGCTTGCGTTTGCTTGCGCTTGCAAAGCCGAATTCGCTGTCAGTTGCAGGTGTCGTGACGTGATTCGTGTGGCGGTGAGGATGCCAATCATGATATAACCAGTTGCTTCAGGGGCCTGCCCCGCCCGGCCTGCCCCGCCCGGCCTGCCCCGCCCTGCCTGCCCCGCCCTGCGTGGCCCACCGCCCTGCTACCTTCGTCCCTAGCGTCTTCTGCCCGTGCCTGTGTACCTGTTTCTCTGCCCCCTTGTGTCTTTCTCGTTCCTTCTCGTGCTTCTCATTCTCTCTCTATCTCCCTCGTCCTGCTTCTCTCATTGTGTTGACACGTGGCAGCCAGCTGGCACCAGCGAGAGGAGATTTATCAGCAGCAGCAGCAGCAGCAGCAGCAGCAGCGGTGGTTGTGGCCGAGTAACCTTTCGGATCGCCATCACCCGGATTGCTCCCATGGCAGCCCTGCCTTCGCTCTCTCTCTTTGGCCGCTTCTCCACACCCACCGTGTCCACCGTCAACAGTTCAACCTCCGCCAACTGCTTCTTTTCCTCCTCCACCTCCTCCTCCTACTCCTTCACGCATCCCCTTTCCTGGCCGCACAGATGCTCCATCCCCAGCACCCCTTGCAGGCCTTTCTCTCCCTTAGTTGTAGCGTCCAGCACGCCTGGTAGCAGCACCGCTGGTGGCGCTGGCAGCAGCACCAGCGGCAGCGGCAGGAGCGGTAGCAGCGGCAGGAGTGGCAGCAGTGGCAGGGGCCCTGGTAGAAGTAGGAGCTATGGCGTACTGGCTTCAGACGCCGACTCTGCCGCTCCTGTTGCTGCTGCTCCTGTCTCTGCCGCTGATGCTGCTGCTGCTGCTGCTGCTGCTGCTTGTGTGAGCAGTGCAGTCGCAGAGGAGGCGTCAGCAACGGAGAAGAGGCGGAGGAAGAGGGAGCGGGCGCAGGGGCAAAGTGGTGCCTCGCCTTCTGCTGCTGGGCGTCGGGGTGGTCGTGGTGGTGGTGATGGTGGTGGTAAGGGTGGTGGTAGCAGCGGTGGTGGTGGTGGTAGAGCGGGAGGTGCTGGTCATGCTGTGTTGAAGGGTAAAAGCAATGGCGGTGGCAAGAGGTCAAGTGATGCCAAGAAGAATGCTGGTACGGATACTCTTGCTCTCACCTGTTCGTCCGTCCACTGCCAAGCTCACATCTGCAATTGCTACAAGTGCAAGGTCGGCCAGGCCAGGACATATCTTCCCACAGCTTCCCCACCACTTGCTCACATCACATCTCACCCTCTCTTGCGCTGTGACGCTGTCCCTCCGCTCATCCATCTCCCACCTTCTCCACCAACCCCCTTCCCCCCTCTTCCCCCCTTCCCTACCCCCCCGTTCCCCTGTCCCCCTCCCCTTCTTAACCGATGCTTTTCTCCTCCATGGGGTGATTGTCCTGCGCCCCTCTCTCCCCTCTGGATGTGCTGCCTTCACCCCTCTCTCTTCTCTCTCCCCCTCCATGGGCCGATTGCCCATTGGCCCATCGCAGTGTCGCCTGCCTGCGGTGGTGTTGCGATCAGGTCAGCACCGTTCGTCACCTCTCATTATCTCACATCTATCCACTGCTGCCCAACTTACCCCCCTGACTGTCTGTCTCTCTCCCTCCCCTGCAGCATCGCCTGCGGTGGTGCTGTGGCTGCCACTGATTCTTGAGCCGACTCAAAAGGCAGCTCGTTCCCTTTTCCCCCCTCCCCCAGTGCGCTTTCAAACAACAAGCTGACTTTTGAGGCGACTCAAAAGTCAGCACCCGATGCAGCCTCTTGTCTTCCCACCGATTCCCAGCCTTCCCCCCCTCCCCGCTCACCCCTCATCGCATGAGCTGTTAGCAGCATCGCCTGCAGTGGTGCTGCGGCCGGGACAGCACCCCATGCGCCCCAACCTCATTCCCAGCTTCACCTGGCACGTGCTGCGAGGCCTCAGGCGACATGGTGAGGGGCGGTGGGGTGGGGGGAAGGGAGGAAGAGGAAGGGCTTCACATGGCGCGCTTTAAGGGCATCAGACGCCATGGTGAGGGGTGGTGGGGTGGGGTGGGGGGGAGAGTAGAGGAGGGGATTAGAGGAAGGCAGACGGAGTGGAGTGGAGTGGAGTGGAGTGGAGTGGAGTGGAGTGGAGTGGAGTGGAATGCTGGCGCCTATGAGCCTCAACTGGCGCATGGTTTGCAGACTCAGGTGACACGGTGAGGGGCGGTCGCAGGGGGAGGCGTTTAGAGGAAGGGAGTGGTGAGGGGAAGGAAGGGCCTGGCTGGTGTGGTGGGGTTTTGGGAAGGGGGTTGAGTTGAAGGGGAGGGCAGGGAGGGCAAGGAGAGCAGGGAGGGCGGGGAGGGCGGAGAGAGCGGGGAGAGCAGGGAGGGCAGGGAAAGCAGGGAGAGCAGGGAGGGCGGGGAGGGCGGGGAGGGCGGGGAGAGCAGGGAGGGCAGGGAGGGCAAGGAGAGCAGGGAGAGCAGGGAGAGCAGGGAGAGCAGGGAGGGCGGGGAGGGCAGAGAGGGCAGGGAGAGCGGGGAGGGCGGGGAGGGCGGGGAGGGCGGGAAGAGCAGGGAGAGCAGGGAGGGCGGGGAGGGCGGGGAGGGCGGGGAGGGCGGGGAGAGCAGGGAGGGCGGGGAGAGCAGGGAGAGCAGGGAGGGCAGGGAGGGCAGGGAGGGCAGGGAGAGCAGGGAGGGCAGGGAGAGCAGGGAGAGCAGGGAGAGCAGGGAGAGCAGGGAGAGCAGGGAGGATGGATGTGGTGTTCTTTTGGTCTCAAACCAGAGGGAAGACGTTCATTCTCTGGACGTTCGTTCCCTATTTTGAAGGCTCGCTATATCAACCCACCCACCCACCCACCCACCCACCCACCCTTCCCCCAATCTTTCGTCCGTCCGCACTGCACCCTCCACTCCACCACCCCCTCCTTTCCCCACCCCCTGAGAACTTTCAAGACAACGTCCCCACACACACCCCCACGCCACGTCAACCCCCTTTCCCCTCCGTGCGTGATAGGGTTCGAGGCGTATCTGGTGGGCGGCAGCATCAGGGACCTGCTGCTGGACCTGCAGCCCAAGGACTACGACGTGCTCTCCACCGCCACCACCACACAGGTGCGACTTCTGAGGCGCCTAAACAAGTTGAGTTGACTTAAAAGTCGCCTGGAATCTGCAGTTTAAGGACTATGATGTTTTATCAACCACCAGCACCACACAGGTGACACTAGGCTTGAGCAATGGGTCGGGTCAGGTTGGGTAACCCGACCCGAACCCGACTTTTTGACGGGTCGGGTCGACATTTGCGGAGGGTCGACCCGATCCGACCTGACGGACATAACCCGACCCCGCGGGTCGGCTTATTACCCGTCCCTGCCCCTATACCAACCTGACCCGACCCGTCTCGAAATCGGGTCAGGTAGTACCCGACCTATTAAACCCGGGCCGGGTTGACATTTTCTGAAATCCGACCCGACTTGACCCGACCCGACCCGACCCGACCCCGACATCGGGCAGGGCAAAGTCGGGTCGGGTCGGGTCGGGTTTATGCGCAAGCCCAGGTGACACGTGGCAGGTGGCGGCTTGAGGCAGGTAGATGGTGATGTGCGTTTCTTTCTGGTGCTAACGGCGGCGATTGGAAGGTGGACTTGGCAGTGGTGGTGTTGCTGCTGTGTGATCATCTGCGTGATGCATGCTGATGTTGTCCGTTGTATGCTGCGCCCGCTGCTGCGGCATGTGTTACATTCTGGTACATCTTTGCCACATCCCATGAGAGAGTGAGTGGATGTGCGAACCTCCTCATCTCATCTCTCTCCCATATCTTCTGTATTCTACTCTCGGATTTTTGCCTATTCTTTCTCTTCCTTTTTTTTCGCGGCACCTGTGAACTCGACTCGACTTGGGTCACTTTCACTGTTCACCTAACCCCTCGCATCGCTTGATGTTAGCCCTAAAACACGTGCCCCTCTCTTTTTCCCCCCTCTGTTTGTCCCTCTCTCACCACATCGCCTCTTTCTCCCTTTCTTTCTGTTCACCGCCTCCTCCCCCCTCCCTCCTCCCCCCTCCCTCCTCCCCCCTCCCTCCTCCCCCCTCCCTCCTCCTCCCTCCCTCCACCCCATTCCCCATGACTCTCAGGTGCGGCGGTCGTTCCCTAGGGCTCGAATCGTGGGCCGGCGCTTCCCCATCTGCCACGTGGTGGTGGGCAGGGAGATAGTCGAGGTGAGGGGGAAGGGAGATAGTCGAGGTGAGGGGGAAGGGAGATAGTCGAGGTGAGGGGGAAGGGAGGAGGGGGGCGGGGACTAAAAAATCAGGGTGGGCGAGGCGATGGGGATTCAGAGACATTTGTGAGGCGAACAGAGGGAGGAGGGGAGTTCTTTATTTGCCACGTGGTGGTGGGCAGGAAGATAGTGGAGGTGAGTGGGGGGGCGGGATGGATGGGGGAGGGGGAGGAGTTTTGCACAGCAAGCAGCGGGAATTGGAGCACGTGGTAGTGGGCAAGGTGATAGTCGATGAGGGAGAGAGGGTGGGGCGAGTGTCAAGTGAGACTAGGAAAGCGTTGATGCTCATGGTGGGCACGAGGTTGTGAGTAGCAAAGCAGGACAATGTAGAGGGGCGCAGGGGGATCCGGGAGAGGGCGATTAGCGATTTGGCAAACAAAGAAGGACTTAGCAGACGGCGTTGCTATGAGATGAACTAGGGGACAGGGGAGGGGAATGGGGGGGGTGGGTGCGTGAGCTTTGCGAGTTGTATGAACGTGCCGACCTAATGTGTCCTTCGCTTGCTCTGCTCTCCTCCACCATCGCAGGTATCCAGCTTCAAGACCAATGAGAAAGTTCCCAACAGACACGGGAAGAGACGTCTTGAGTCGACTCAGAAGTCGCCGTGTGTCTCCCTCCCTCCCTTGCCCTGCTCTCCACCGCTGCTGCAAGTGTGTAGCTTCAAGTCCAAGGAGAGACTTCCCAACAGGAAAGGGAGGAGACTTTTTGAGTCGGCTCAACCCGTGTCTTCTTCTCCCTTGCCCTGCTCTGCTCTGCACCGCCGCCGCAGGTATCTAGCTTCAAGACCAAGGAGAGACTTCCCAACAGGAAAGGAAGACGGGCGAACATAGAGCTGGCGAGGCCAGCCACAAAGCTGCAATGGCTGGATGACGATGGGGAGGAGGAGGGCGAGGAGGAGGAGGAGGACGAGGAGGAGGGCGAGGAGGGTGAGGAGGGCGAGGAAGGGGAGGGGGGAGGGGAGGAGGGGACGGAAGGGGGGCGGTTGGTGGGTGTGGGTCCCCCGCGGGAGATGGTGGAGCGGAGGGAGTGGACGAGCAAGGACTCGGAGCGGTGGCTCAACGCGGCACGCAGAGACTTCACTGTCAATGGGTGCGGTGCGGGCTGTGCTTGTGCTGCGAAGTTTTTTAGAATTCTCAAAAACACCCCGCGGCTTCACAGTCGATGGGTGTGCGGGCTGTGCTTGTGCTGCGATGCAATGCGATGACAGGAACCTGCACTGCACTGATTGAGCACGCTTTCGTTTCATCATGTGTGCTTTTGTGAACCAGGGGGCACAGTGCACTCGGGGTACAGGTTGGAAGGGGCTTGGCTTGGCAGTGGGAGGGTGGCAGACTGGCAGTGTTACGAACCTTCTGCTTATGTCCCCTCTCTCTGTCTTTAAGCCTTTTCTCCATCGCATGTCACCATATCCCTCATACCTCATCACGTCTCATCCACCCCCCCCTGCGTGCCCTCCCCTGCTCCTCCTCCCCTCTCTCCTCCCTCCCCGCACCCCCCCCCTGTGTGCGCACGGGCGGTGGCACGGCAGGCTGATGCTGGACCCGTTCAGTGGAACGCTGTACGACTATGTGGGCGCCATGGACGACATCAACAGCCGCATGGTGGGTGCCCCGTGCTGCACCGTCTGCCATGCCATGCCATGCCATGCCATGCCATGCTGTGCCATGCCATGCCGTGCCGTGCCATGCCATGCCATGCTGTGCCATGCGGTGCCGTGCCATGCCATGCCATGCCGTGCCATGCCATGCCGTGCCATGCCATGCCATGCCATGCCATGCCGTGCCATGCCATGCCATGCCATGCCGTGCCATGCCATGCCATGCCGTGCCATGCCGTGCCATACCATGCCGTGCCGTGCCGTGCCATGCCATGCCATGCCATGCCATGCCGTGCCATGCCATGCCATGCCATGCCGAGCCATGCCATGCCATGCCATGCGGTGCCATGCCATGCCATGCCGTGCCATGCCATGCCATGCCATGCCATGCCGTGCCATGCCATGCCATGCCATGCCATGCCGTGCCATGCCATGCCATGCCATGCCATGCCATGCCATGCCGTGCCATGCCATGCCATGCCATACCATGCCATGCCATGCCGTGCCATACCATGCCGTGCCGTGCCGTGCCATGCCATGCCATGCCATGCCATGCTGTGCCATGCCATGCCATGCCGTGCCATGCCATGCCATGCCATGCCGTGCCATGCCATGCCGTGCCATGCCATGCCATGCCATGCCATGCCGTGCCATGCCATGCCATGCCATGCCATGCCATGCCATGCCGTGCCATGCCGTGCCATACCATGCCGTGCCGTGCCGTGCCATGCCATGCCATGCCATGCCATGCCGTGCCATGCCATGCCATGCCGAGCCATGCCATGCCATGCCATGCGGTGCCATGCCATGCCATGCCGTGCCATGCCATGCCATGCCATGCAATGCCATGCCATGCCGTGCCATGCCATGCCATGCCATGCCATGCCGTGCCATGCCATGCCATGCCATGCCATGCCATGCCGTGCCATGCCATGCCATGCCATGCGGTGCCATGCCATGCCATGCCATGCCATGCCGTGCCGTGCCGTGCCATGCCATGCCATGCCATGCCGTGCCGTGCCGTGCCATGCCGTGCCATGCCATGCCATGCCATGCCATGCCGTGCCGTGCCATGCCATGCCATGCCATGCCGTGCAATGCCCTCTTCAATCCCCACCATGATCTTAGCGCGGACACATTGCTTCAGCATGTGGATCCCAGCCAGGTGTTGGTGATTTGCAGCGCACTGTTTCTGATCTCTCCGTTTCTATGGGCCGTCCTTGTCAAAATGCTTCTGCATCCGTGCATGTTGATTCCTGCATGGCATATGCCCATGTGTGCATGCCCATGTGTGCATGCCTTTGTGTGCACGTGAGTGCTTAACGTCTCTATCTCTCTCTCGTCCACGCTGCGTGCATGTTCCTCTGCCACTGACTCAGCTCAGAACAATACAACCAGCCCTGCCCTCCTTCCTTGACGACCCAGGTTCGTGCTCCCAACCACACTCACAGCTGCACCACGCATTTCTCTACCTGCTCTCTCCTGGCCCTTCCACCACCTGTCTCAGTGTGCTTCCAAACCCTGCTGGCTGTGCTTAACTCTGCTGTTGCCGGAAGTGAGACCCTGGGGTCCGAACTCGTTGGGGAAGAGCAGCAAGGTAGAAGAACCTTCTGCTAGTAGCACAGAGAAGCTTACTTTTGTTTGTTAGTAGCCTCTGCGGGGCAAAAGCGCCAGCCACAACCAAGGCGCTTACGAAGCTCTGACCTTGGGCTGAGAAAGGGGTGGGCTCTGATTCTGCTATCTCCCTCTCCTCCCCCATCCAGGGCAGGTGCTGCTAGCCTTGCGCATCGCATCCAAGGCCCATCGCTCCCTCCTCCTGGCTCTGCCGACTCTCTCGGCTGTCTCTCGTCGTCTCCCCTATCCGCTTCTCCCTCTCCCCTCCCCCGCCTTTCCCCTCCCTTCCTTCCGCTCCCTTCCCCTCCGTTCCCCTCCCATCCCCTCTAGTGCGCGTGCTGCGCACCATGCGCCTGGCGTCCAAGGCGCGCCTCGCCCTCCTGGCGTTGTCTGTCTCTCCCAGCTGACCCTCTGCGCGTCCCCCTGAACTCTTTCTCCCCTGCCTCCCCTCCAGTGCGTGTGCTGCGCGCCATGCGCCTGGCGTCCAAGGCGCGCCTCGCCCTGCACGCTGACATCGTTGCCGCGCTGCAGTCGCCGCGCCTCCTCTCCACCCTCGCTCAAGTCAACAGGGTGGGCCTTGGGGGGACGGGGCGTGTGTTGGGCGCGTGTTGGGGATGCCTGGGGGGGATGCCTGGGGGGGCACACCTGGTGGATCACCTGGCGTGCAGGTGGCCCATAAGCCTGTGCAGCAGCCGGTGCAGCTGCTTGACTGCACTCCGGATCCTTGTTGCACCATTCTTCGTTCTTTGTTTTTGGCAGCCAGCTTTGTTTGGGTAAATTCCTAGCACATGTCAGCTCACTTCGGATCAGAGATTCGACAGCCGGGATCAGGACACGTCAGCAATTGTGCTGATGTGTACATATATCTTAGCCGTCAACAAATTGTGTCAAGGGAGCCTGACACTTGCCAGGAATTTACCCTTATTGTAACTTCAGTAAAACGAACCCTTCTTCTTAAAACCCACCTCTTCCCCCCCCAACCCCAACTTTTCTTGTCCCAACTTTCGCTCCCCAACCATCCCTCTCCCACCCTCCCATCTCCTCCCTTCTCCCCCCGACTGCTCCCTACCCTCCCAGGCTCAACCCTCACTCCTCCGCACCTCCCCCACCTCTTCACGCATCTCCGCGCTGCAAGGGCGCGAGCAGCAGGGGATGGCGCTGCTGCTGCCATACGGGCCCTCAGAGCCTGGAGTGTTATGAGTCCACTCAAATCTCGGTTCTTCTGCTCACCCCCCTTCCCCTCCCCCCTCCCCCCCGTGAGTCTATTTGCAGGACCGGGGGAAGCAGTAGGTGGCGCTGCTGCTGTCGTACGGGTCAGCAGAGGCCGCGTATTTTGAGTCGAATCAAAACTCAATTCCCTCTCCCACCCATCCCCTCCTCTCCCCCCCTCCCCCCTGCCTTGAGTCTATTTGCAGGACCGGGTGCAGCAGGAGGTGGCGCTGCTGCTGTCCTACGGGTCGGCAGAGCCCGCCATGCGCCTGCTGTGGTCTCACCGCCTCATGCCGCTGCTGCTGCCGCTGCATGTACTGGGGGATGTGACGTGCTGTGGTGTGGTTGGATGTGCTGTGCTGTGCTGTGCTGTGCCGTGCCGTGCCGTGCCGTGCCGTGCCGTGCTGTGATGTGATGTGATGTGATGTGATGTGATGTGATGTGATGTGCTGTGATGTGATGTGATGTGATGTGATGTGATGTGATGTGCTGTGATGTGCTGTGATGTGCTGTGATGTGATGTGATGTGATGTGCCATGGTTGCATGTATTGTGATCTGCCCAGGGTTGCAAGATCAGCCATGGGAATGTTTCCTGCCCCTTTATCCCTTCTGCAATGTGAACTCCACACCACACGCCCTCTGTTCCCCTTTTTTTGCCACGCTTTCTTAACCTCGAAACTGTCCCGTCTTCCCCCCACCCCCGCTCCCTCCCCCTTCCCTCTCCCTCCCCTCCCCCTCCCGCCCCCTCCCTCCCACTCCCGCCCCCCCTTGGCAGTCCGCTCGCCTGCTAGCTCGTGGCTTCCCCTCCGCCCCATCTGCTGCTGCCACTGCTGACGACTTGCTCTTTGTCAGTCCCTGCTGTGCACGCATGCCATGGGTGCCATGGATGTCATGGATGCCATGCATGCCATGGATGTCATGGATGCCATGCATGCCATGGATGTCATGGATGTCATGCATGCCATGGATGTCATGGATACCATGCATGCCATGGATGCCATGGATGCCATGCATGCCATGCATGCCATGGATGCCATGGATGCCGTGGGTGCCATGCATGCCTTGGATGCCATGCATGCCGTGGTGCCATGGATGCCGTGGGTGCCATGCACGTATGTGCACATGCACACACCTGCACACATGTGCTCGCCCCTAATGCACGCATACACTCATACACCCATGCAGACATGCGGTTCCGTAGCCATGCACACATGCATGTCCTCACGCATTTGAGATCCCCCTCCTCTCCCATGCTCTTATGTAAGCTTGCACTAGTGCATCCATGCACCCGTGCTTCGACCACCATCTTACTGGATTGGACCCCTCTCCCACTTCCAACACTCTGATTCATTGCCTCCTCTCTCCGCCCATCCACCCATGCGCCCATGTACCCATGTGTCCGCCAGTCCATGCTGCGACAGCTGGATCGCCTCACTGCTCCCAATGCTCCCTGCAGACCGCTTGTCTGGTCAGTCGCTGCTTGGAGCCTCCGGCTTAGCTAGATGTGTGAATCTCTCTATTGGAGTTAGCCTGCAAAATGTGTTAGAATAGGGATTGACTGTTTTGTTTTTTTGTTGTTTTGTTGTTTTGTTGTTTTGTTGTTTTGTTCCCTGTGATTCCCTCTTATCCCTTCCTACCCTCTCTCTGGGTTAGTACTGAAGGATGTATGCCTTCCCTATAGTCATCAATTTTCACACCTTCTCTATCAATTCTCTATCCTTCCTTCCGTCCTTCCATCTGTCCATCCATCCGTCCATCCGTCCATCCGTCCATCCATCCGTCCATCCGTCCGTCAATCCGTCCGCCCATCCGTCCGCCCACATATCCACTATGCGTTGACATATGCTTGCACATCTGTATGTCTAGGGTTCTCTTCCTCCTCCTCCCTTTTCCAAACAAGCGTTATTTCCCACCCTTTGCATGTGACCTACTCCCACTGTCCTCATTCTCACACCTTTCTCTTCTCTTCTCTTCTCCCCCTTCCCCTCCCCCTTCTTCCCCCTCCCCCTCTCCCTCCCCCTCCCCCTCCCCCTCCCCCTCCCCCTCCCCCTCCCCTTCTCCCCCCCCCTCCCCCTCCCCCTCCCCCTCCCCATGCCCCTCCTCCTCCCCCTGACCTTTTCCCTCCCCCTCCCTCTCCCCCTCCGCCTCCCCCTCCCCCTCCGCCTCCCCCTTCCCCCTCCCTCCCCCTCCCCCTGCCCCTCCCCCTCCCTCTCCCTTACACTCTTACTCCCCTCTTCCCCCTCTAGGGTGAGCATATTAGCCCTTTACCTTGCAGCGACCGCCACGACCACACCGCCGGCAGTGTTGCTGGCAGCAGCTCTGCGCATGCGAAGGGGCGGGCTGGAGTGGGGGCGAGCAGCAGCGGACGCAACAGAGGTTGTGCGGAGACTAAAGGCGGGGGAGCCAGTGGACGTAGAGCTGCTGGTGGGGAGTGGTGGGGAAGGGGAGGGGGAGGAGAGGCACGGACAGAGCAGGCGGAAGAAGAAGGGGAAGGGGAGGGTGGAGGGTGCGCGGGATGTGGAGGGTGAGGAAGAGGGGGAGGGAGAGGGGAAGGGAGTGGGGGATGGTGACGGGAGGAGGACGGGTGAGCAGAGAGCCGAGGAGAGGAGAGTAGTGAAGGAAGCCAGACAGGTATTGCATGGAGTGGAATGGACTAGATTGAACTGGATTGGAAAGGGAATTATATTTTTTATTTGGGTTAAAATGGACTGGAGTGGAATGAATTGGATCGGATTGGATTTGACCTGGTGGGGCAGTGAATTGAGCTTGGAGTCGGTCCGTGTGTGCTTGCTTCTTGGTGGATGCATATTCTCGATTCGACTGCTGTTCCAGCTGTCTCTTCCTTCACTCGCATTTCTCAGTCTACTCCGTCTGTCACCACAACACTACATTGCACCACACCTCACCACACCTCACCACACCTCTCCCCCACCACACCTATCTCTCTTGCTCTCTCTCTCTCCTCTTTTCCCCCCTGTCGTCCCCCCTTCCCTCCTCCTACCCCATGTTGCCTTTCTCTCTCTCTCTCCTTCCTCCTCTCTCTCCCCTGCAGCTGCTTCCCAGGGCCCTGCGCTGCCTGCTGCACATGACTGACGAGGAGGAGCTCTCACGCCATTCACACGCGCAACTGGGCATCTCTCTTCCCGAACCCGTGCGCCTCTCCGCTCACACTCCCCTCCTCTCTCACTCCTCTCCCCTCACACTCTCTTTCCCCGCACCCCTCTCTCCTCATGCCTTCAAAACCGATGCTTGTCTACCCCTCTGCCCATCTTATTCCTCAGTTTGCCGCCCATCCTCTCATTTAATCCAAAGCAAATGTCTTATCAAACCCACCCCATCCCCTCCCCCCCTCCCCATGCCTTCTGGCCGGTGATTGGTCCCATGGCATCGCATGTCTCGTGCGTCGCTGCAGATCTTGTTAACCCGTGCCAGTGCCTCAGAAGCAGCGCAGCTGCTCTACCGCAGCATGTCCGGCCGCCAGGTCAAGGACCCCCTATCGCTCGACCAGCTTCTCACCACCACAGGGCTTGCTGGGGATGCTGATGATGATGATGACGAGGATGAGGAGGATGGGGCTGGTGTGAGGCGGAAAAAGCAGGCGGGTAGGCGGCAGAAACAGCAGAAGCAGGGGGGGAGGTGGGAGGCAGGGCATGTTTCGGCGGAGGTTTTGGATGAAGCTGAGATGCTGGTGTCCTGGGTGGTCATCAATTCGGTGCCTTCGATCGTTTAGGGTGTCACTTGATGTAGTATCTGGTAACTTGCACTGTATTCGATGTAATGTAACATCCCTCTAGTCTGCAGCTATGTAATCAAAATTGTGAAAGCTTGCTTAGGTCCTCTTGAAGGGCAGTGTGCTTCATTTCATACGTGTTGCATACATTGGTTCTCGTCCAATAAACTACTAAACATGTACCGTAATCCCCCGGGTATAGGCGCATATGTGCTTATAGGGATTAGGTTCAAAATGTTAGAAAAACGTAATGATTAGAAGGAAGAGGGAACAAGGGAGATATAGGGTTTGGTTTGTACTCTCTAAGAACACACACCAGTTCTAGCCTATAACTTCTACATGCAAATGTATATATAAGTTGAGACACCCCCAAGGCTAGATTAGGGGTAGTGCTGAGCAAGAAGCACACAGCTCAGGGTGGCACTACTAGTCCAACCTCTGAGACAGGGGTCCGAAGACCAGTCAGCAAGAGTACAAACAAGAAAAGAGCAAACCAGGGCGGCACTTCTAGTCCGGCCACTTGAAGCAAAGCCACAAGGCCAGTATGAAAGATATATATAAAGAGGAGTACACAATGAAGATCCTAGCAAGTGAGAGTCTACACGAACTAGACCAAGCTGCAAACAGTGCCGCTGATGATCTTTAGGCGCAAGCGCCTTACTAAAGATATCAGCTCTGCTGGCATCGGAGGCCAAGTGTGCTACGCGGGCTTGGCGGCGCTGCTGTAGCTAGCGCAGGAGGAAGTACCGCAGCTGGATGTGCTTCACTCTGCCCTCAATTCGAGGCTCCTGACACAGGAGGATCATGGCCTTGTTGTCAGCGTATAAGACCGGGGCAGAACTAGGCCGCTCACCTAAGTCGGTGAGCAAGAACGTCAGCCAGCGGAGCTCCTGTGCTGCCACGGCACCGGAGTAGATCTCAGCCTCACAGCTAGACTAGGCAACAGACGAGGAGCAAGTGGACCTCCACGAGATGGCACCCGAACCTAGGCTAAAGCAGTAGCCCTGCGAGGACCTGAGGGCCACAGCGTCGTCTGCCCAAGAAGCGTCTGTATGCCTAGTAAGGACCACTGGTCTACGTCCTCCTAGCACTAACCCCATGCCCGATGTACTTGCTAAATAACGCAAAACCCCCTTATCGGCCGACCAGTGCTGTGGTCGGTGTCTGCCTGTGGCCACTAAGCGAGCCAGGATGCTGAGAGGGTATGCGAGATCTGGACGAGTGCAAGTCATCAGGTACACGAGGCAACCCACCAGCTCTGCGTAAGGACTACTGGGCTCTACTGACTCCTCATGAACTGGAGCTGAGAGCATGTGATCTACTAGCAGAGGTGTGGGCTATGCGAAGGAGAACTGGAGACCGAACCTCTGAAGGACCTGGCGCACCAAGTGTGACTCTGTGAGAGTGATGGTGCGCGCTGCTATGTCCCTAGAGATCTGCAGGCCAAGGTATCGGCACAGCTCTCCTAGGTCAATGCAGGTGTGTCTCCTCAGCAGCTCGGCCTTCACGAAGGCCAGCGTGTCTCTGTCTGCAGTAGTGAAGACCAGGTCATCTACGTAGACATGGATGTAGAACGGAGTCTAGCCAGCACGAACGAGGGGTCTGCAGAGGACGGAAAGAACTGCAGGTCAGCTAGCGTAGCACGCAGCGTGTCGTGCCACTAACGGGGCGCCTGTCGCAGGCCATAGATTGGGCGCCGAAGGAGCCACTGGGTCCCAGGAGGGAAGGTACCGGCAAAGTCCTGAGGACGGCGCAGGTAGACCTGCTCGTGTAGGCTGCCCTGAAGAAACGCAGTGGAGAAGTCAAGGGAGTGTAACTCGTAGTCACACTGTGCTGCTACGTATAGCAGTGCCCGAAGAGTAGTCATCTTCGGGGTTGGGGAGAAGGTCTGAAAGAAGTCCACCCCCTCACGCTGACTGAAGCCTCTAGCCACGTAGCACGCCTTGAACACAGGCGGCTCTCCAGGCGGGCGCTTCACCTTGAGGAGCCATCGGCCATCGACTACGTTCACCCCAGGTGGGGGAACTACGTCGACGTAGGTGCCAATGGATCTCCAAGATGCCATCTCCTACTCCATGGCAGCTATCTGAGTATTCTTTCTTGCCCCATGTGCGTTCAACCTCCATAGGTTCTTAGACTATGGCAGATGTTGGTTTTAGGTTTTCGTAGCCCCAATTTCCGTCTCTTGATGCCCATGCAGCTTGACCTATTTCTGCTGCTGCTGCTGATGTGGCTTCAATTGTTGCAGATTCGTCAATGGAGTTGGTGCGAAAAGGGTGAGGGGTTATGTAGAAGACGTTTAGACCACAATGATCTTGGCGTTGGTAATCCGTATCCCAGTGATGATGCCAAGGAGCTAGTGAGACGTTCTTCTCACTGTCGCCAGATGCCTTCACGGGTGAGAAGAGTAAAACTGAAACGTCGTCTTTAATTTCTGCGATGCCGACGAAATTGTTTATGTCTTCCGTCTTTTCTCTCAGGCACAACTCCGTGAGCATTTGTTGGCGGTGCTGATGAAACGGATGCCGCTTTCCATTAGCTGCGCTTGTGATAGTAGGTTGAAGCCGAGTTCCATGATGACAAGGACCTTGTTAAGGTGAAGTGAAACCTCCTTATTGTTTGATTCTAGTATCACATCCCCGATTGTAGTTGCTTCGATTGACTGATTGTTAGCAACTGTGATGTTGTACTTCTCTTCTTGTGGCAGGTCTCGCTAGTTGAGAAGATAAGGACTTGAAGACGCCATGTGGTGTCCGCAGCAGCTGTCAAGAAACCAAGTGTTAACATGCTCGGGATATGCACGCTTAGCGATGCAGTGTACGGTTGTACGTTCAAACATCGAGGAAAGCCTGTAGGCTGTTTCGGTTCTTCTTCATCAACGACAGCTGGTTTTGGAGATTTTGAACGAGAGGGAAGACATGGAAGTAAGTTTGCTGGTCCTTCTTCCATGTCACTGTCGCTGTTTTCATTATCTCGTCGTCTCCAGTAGCATTTGCCACTAAACCAGTGTGGTCCAATTATGCAATTAATTATTGCTTTGCCTTTTGCAGGTTGAGTTGAAGAAGATGAAGGCGGCGAGATAGTCTTGACAGGGGCAGCTTCACCGGACTTCTTCCGATTCATGTACTTGAATTTCTGACACTCTTCAATATAATGACTTGCTTGTTTGCAGAACTTACAGAAGCCCTCTCCTCCTTTTCTTGTCTGTGCCTATTGACTTGATGCACCTCTTGTCTGCTCCCCTTGACTTGGTCCACCTATATAGAAGCTTAACCCACTCTTGGCTTTGCCTCCTTTTGCGTTGTATAGGTCCAAGTCCTGCAGCTCTGCCATCAGAGTAGCACAAAGAGAAGTTTCTGAGATGTTCCCTTGGGAACGAAGAAGGGAATTGCATTGCCTCCATTCGGGTCCAAGTCCAGCCAAGAGGATAGTGACAAAGGGCTCATTGCTGAGATTTCCTCTGCACCTCCCAAGCTGGTCCCGAAGATTTCTGCACCTGTTGATGTAGCTGCCGACTTTTTCTCCCAGAAGCATTTGCATTGCTATAAATTGACTTAACAGCTTGCTTTGTGAAATGGAATCTTGTGCTTGATAAATTCTTCGCAGGTAATCCCAGGCGTACGCTGGTGCAATCGAAGGCTTGAAGCATCGAACTCTCAACTGCTCTTTAGGTGAGAGATTTCGCACCAATAGTGTATAGGCCCTACAGTGACGGAAATAAATGGGCTTATTTATCCATTGCGGTACATAGACATTGTGATTTAGGCATTATGTGTTGTCATAACTCGACCATAACAGATTGCATAGTGTGCCTCATGACCTCATCTGCTTAATGCAATTGGGTGTTGTAACTTTTATCGAGTTTCTTGTAAAGAGTACAATAATAAGCGGACGTCACTCGATGCGGACACTTTAGGCCAACATCGAGTCCAGATCTATTTCCTGCCTGCATTTCGCGACCTCGCAATCCAAGCATCCATTTTTCTCTCGATAGTACAGCGGCAACTACGCCAAGCTCCTAGCGACGATGCGGCCGCTTCTTTCGAGCCAGAAAGATAGGATCGCGACACTGCTTCGACAGGGTCAGAGTTTTCGACAAATCGCTAGAGCATTAGGAATAGGGAAGAGCACGGTACAGAAATACGCACATGAAGCCTCCCAGCGCACGAGCAGCCTAGCGGTCAGGCTGATTGTTCCTACGAACGGCCAACCGCGCATGCTCTCGTTACGTGATAGGCGCTCACTGGTTCGAGAAGTCACTTATGGCCATGCAAAAACTAGCATAGAAGACGTGAAGCTTCTAGAATCAGAGCGCGGCATCAAGATATGCCCTAGAACCGTGCGCAACGCCCTGAAGAATTCTGGTTTAGTAGCCGTGCAGAAACCGAAGAAGTCGCGACTTTCTGCCCGAAACATCAGAGACCGCCTCGATTTCGCCAAGGCGCACCTTGATTGGACTATTGAAGACTGGAAGCGGGTGATCTGTTCCGACGAGACCAAGATCAATCGCTTATCCAGCAATGGCCGCAAGTACACGTGGATACGCGACGGGGCGGCCCTGCAAGGTCACCAAGTTCAGCAAACCGTCAAGCATGGGGGCGGGTCATTGATGGTATGGGGGTGCATGCCATTTGATGGCCGGGGATATATGTGTAAGATTGATGGCCGCATGGATGGGGAGCTGTACAGAAGCATATTGCAAGATGAGCTTGCTCAAACCATCGATTTCTATAGTCTAACCCCCTCGGATGTAATCTTTCAGCATGACAACGACCCCAAGCACAAGAGCCGCCTTGTGCAAGCTTGGCTGTCTGAGCAGCCATATGCAGTCCTCAAGTGGCCTTCCTCCTCCCCTGATCTCAACCCCATAGAGCACTTGTGGGCACACCTAAAAAGGGAGCTTGCCAAATATGATTTTCCCCCCACAGGGATGCTCCAGACTTGGGAGCGGGTGCAAGAGACATGGGATGGGATTGGGGCGGATGTGTGCAGGGGCCTCATCAACAGTATGCCTAGGAGGGTGAAGGCAGTGGTTAGGGCTAAGGGGAGGTGGACTAGGTACTGATTTCGGATTGATAAATACTTTCTTCATATCTG